AGAGAATGAATCTCTCTCATTTAATCCACCCACTCCATGTGACTGCAGCCCCTCTCACAAACTAACACAGGGCACTATACTTTCATGCCAATGATAGTAGGTTAGAACCCTGTAGGTTGAGCTCAAGGGCTGATCATCTTTGTAACTCTTTACCATGAGATGTGAAAATTTCAGTCCTAAATACAATGCTGTTGTTAAGCCTTTTGTAGACTTTTGGTGCCACAGGTTGGTAAAAGAATTTACCAGTGCAAACAGGCAGGAAGGAGAAGCAAGAAGTTTATCAGGACACAGAGACGCAGTAGGTTGCCGAGCACAGGGAGTGCTGCTGCTACCCTCAGAGGAGGGTTAGGCAGGTTTATTTCTGCAAAGCAAAGCAAATGTGCACCCTCAAATGGAGAGTGGGCAGACTCAAGAAGGAACCCTGCCTTGGAGGTCCCAAGACCTCAAGCTTCTATTGTAGAGATTGGAGTGGTCAGTTCTGGAAAACTGGAGTTTGTGCCATTAACTTTGAGACTGGACTACATGTCGACTCCTCCCACATGTTGGGCAGGGAAGGTGTTGGCCTTGGATGGTCAGACTAGGGCTGTTATTTTCTGAGCTCCAGAGGCTGTAGGTCAGCAAGACCCTGCTGAAGGTCTGCTAACGTCAGCAGTCTAGGAGGTGATTCCTTATCAGCATCCAAGCCATGGTTCTCAGCCATCAGGTTTCCTAACTCCGTTAGTCTTCATCTGGCCTAATACTTTGGAGGAAGTTCTGAAGATGGGCTTTACTTCTGTCTGTCCGTGTGTGTGCACATGCACTTGTGCACTTCTCAGTGACCCTGTGGTGTAGACCATGAGCTCTGAAGTGGTTCTTCGTGCTGTGTGATCTCACTGAATTGTACAGCCCTCTACTCTGTCCTCACACTCAGACAAGTGGGGGACTCCATTCCCTGCATTAATAAAGTTCCAGAAACTAGTGCTGCCAGGCAAATGTGATCCTCCAGTTGCTTACCAATTCATACATTAAGACTCAAGGATGGTTACATTCTGTGGCTTGGAAAATCTTCTGCTGATGGCTGACTGTGACTCTTCTCTCTGGATATAATCTTTGGGCAGGTCACAAATTTAACCGACCACCTAGAAGATGCAAGGTACTCAGGTGGCCCTGGGGGAGATTCAGTGCTTCCTGAGGGCTTTACTCAAGCTGACAGGTTTCAGAGCATGGCCACTCATGAACTGTCATGAGAATGTGAGGTTCTTTAAGCTCGACCTGACTGCACAGAGTGGCAGTTTCCTCACCTGTCCAGGCCCCAGGGAAGCTCAACACCCTGTGTTCTCGGCTGGCTTGGAGCGTGGTGTGAGTATTGCTGTTACCATTGTTATCAGTATCGGGTCCATGCTGAGTTGTATGGTTACTTCTGAGGGACATTCAGCTACCATCTGTTCCCTGCCACTGGTGATGTCTGATTAATTAAAAAGGGGGACACTCGAGGTATGAAGGTGTGAAAGTAGAACCCTGAGTTGGGCCACGATCAAATGGCTTTTATTTATTTATTTTGCACTTTGCTGCTCACACAGCTGCAGGGATATGGTCACCTGTCACTCATTTGGGCATCATGTGCTCCACACCTGGAGACACAGGTGAGCCCTGAGGCACTTCACAGCCAGGTCCCTCCCACACTGTGCCAGTTTGCTTAGGTTTAGAGAGCCAGTTGTCTGTTATCTTGGAAAATGTACGTTTTGTTCATTGTGAAGTCCACTGTGCAAGCGCTGTGCCGGCAGGACAGCTTCTTTTAGCTTCAAGTAAAAAAATCTTACAGCTTTTGAATGTCAGAAATCCCACAGAGAAGATGTGAGCCGTACTCTTACGGCACACGAAATGATTAAGGATACAAACAATTATCTAAAGGCATGCTTTTAACATTTTCACCAGTTCATTCTAAAGGCCTATGAATTTTTTATCCAACCGTAGAAAACAAAAAGGGTTGCCTACAATAGACAAAATAAAGGGTTTAGTCATAACATGTAAGAGATGACGTCTCTATTTCTACATAGAATATATCATGTAAGAAACTTACATAGTCACTGACTTTAAAACAACTACAATTTCTAATGCGCCATGAGAGATTTCAGTAACAAGGGAGATGGTTAATCTAGTAAAAGCCTCACTAAGCCTGAACGTTTGAACTTGTACAAAAAACTGTTTAGTATGTATTTTTAAAAATATTACACAGCAAACGAATTGTTTTGCAGTTTCTCTAAAAGTATAGAAACAGTACTTTCTCAATCATAAAGTTAAGCTGAGCAGTGTCTCCCTCTAAAAGAGGCAAATGAACCTTTGCTAACTTTGCAGCTCAAGAAAATGGGCCCTAAAGAAGAAATCCCAATAACAGAGGAATATAACTGAAATGTAACAATTCTTTTTAAAAAGAGTAATTATTGGTTTGGTAGCAGTCCCGGTTCTCTTTGAATACCTAATCAGGTATTTTTATTGCTTTCCCGAGCACATTCCCTATGACAATGGAAATAATTCAGTAACTACCATCTGTGCCACGCACAACCTGTGAACAGTGAATTTGCAGAGGCACGACAAGGCTCAGGTTACCTGGGACATCACCAGATTCCCACACACACATCTCTGAAACATTAATGGCTACTCATTTCTTCAATTCTTTCACTGTGTTTTGAATATTTCATGTGCACCCAGCTTTCCACACTTTTGGAAAATTGTATGTGGAAACCAGGATGAAAATGTGAAGAAACTGACCAGGTATTTTGAAAAGTGCTGCGTTTTTAACTCTCATTCCAGATGTTCAACAGATAATGTAACACAATATGCTAGATGGAAGGGACTGAGTCCAATGAAGATTTTCTTAAAATAATAAATAAAAATCTTGATAATTATGTGTTCAACAACGAAGTCTCTAACTTGTAAACTGAATGCATGACTCAATTTTGATTACAGGAAAGGGAATATATGCACCAAGACCTATCTCTTCTAGTAGAACTAGGGATACCAGTGGAGCTGTTATTATTCATATCATTAATGTAAACATGGAAAAAAAATTAGTAAGAAATTTCTCTTTAAAAGCAATTTCCTCTTTCCTCATTTAAAATCTTCATTTCCCTGCATCTTTCAGAAGGAAAGCCACCAGCTAAGAGCTCTAAAGATATTAAGTCTAAAATGTTGTGATTTTGTGATTCTGTAAGGCAAAACTACATTCCTCTTCCTGACCCCAAGTGAGAGACTGTTCCCAAAGAGCTCTGATTAGTAATGGTTTTAGAAACAAATAGCCAACGCTTTCTGTGGAATATTCTTCCACATCAATCCTGCTTGAAAATAAGCTGGTATGACCCTCTCCCCCGCTCCTGCAGACTTGTATTCAATCCCATGCACCTTGCATCCCAGGTAACATTTCACTGTAAGATGAGAAGGAACCTCTGATGTTGAGGCACCAAGCCTTGCTCAGTGATAGGTGTCTTTCTAGAGCTGTTACATCCATCCTACTCCTAATTCAAGAAGAATGTGGACCCTGAATCCTGGAAAAGATGGCCTGGCTTGATGGCTCAGGAATTAAGTGACCTTCTCTGCGGGTGTTAGGATGCTATTTGTTTGGAACCCCAGGGGTTCCACCTCTAGTGAAATTGGCAGAACAAGCTTCATTTGATTAGTGTGAAACACCCTGCAGTGAAAGAGACAGAGACAGGCAACAGGGGAGAGCTGATCATTTCTGATAAGCCGGCTGCACAAAGACCAAACTGAGGTCATTCGGGGTCTTTCAAAGACAACGAGTTCACCATACAAAAGATGTCCATACGGAAAATTAATTTTATCAAGTAATGTTTGATATTGATTCAGGAAAAGCTCACCATAGAATTTGAACATGGCCAAGAACATATAATAATATCAAAGACAAAACCATTCACCCTGCCTGTAGCCAGGCAGGACCACATCTCAGAACACTGAGATACTCTTTGCCTGCTCTGGGGTCTCTTCCCATAAAGTGCGCCCCCAAAGAAAAGGTAATAAGACTGGGTTTTCTGTGCTTGATGATAAATCCCAGCAGGGGGGAATGAAGTTGTGACAAGGAAACAAAAAGAAACAAGGTTGAAAGAGACCAAGACCCAGCCACCTACCTAGGAGATGATGGACCTGGAAGGAGCACCAGGGGCAGACAGGGCAATGGGCCTTGCCATCATAGAGCCTGGCCTTATCACTGAAGGCCTCAAACCACAGGTCTGCCTCTCTCCAGAGATTTCTCAGCACGATTTGATTTTCACCTTTACAGAAGTCACTGCCCAGGAGAGAGGAGGGGTGAGGACTCCCCAGCAGGGAGCTGGCCCTCTGCAAGTGCCCACCTGCAGATAACCTACCTGAGAGGGCTGGGAGGAAGCCTGTGTGTGTGTGTGTGTGTGTGTGTGTGTGTGTGTGTGTGTGTGTGTGTGTGTGTGTGTGGGGGTGGGGGACACTTAGATCCTAAGCTCCTGGAAAGTTAGCACCTTTACAGTGATGGGGACAGGAGATGGCTAAGGAGCAGGGGAGGGGGAGCCGAGGGAGGGGGTAAGGCAGAAAAGTGGGGAAGGGGAAAGGGAGAGGAGGAGAAGGGTAGGAAGATGGGAGGGGGACCTGGGGAGGAATATGGGGGAGAAGGGAAAAGGATATGGGAGGGGGAGAGAAGTAGGGAAGGGGCAGTGGGAGAGACATGGATAGAGAGGGACAAGTTAGAGAGACCAGAAATACTAGCGGGACCAGGACAGGTGACCAGGGCGGATGGGATGGAGAAGTACAGAAAGGAAAAGTCCTTTATGGAAAAGAACCAGTGGCGCTAAGCAGCACCTCCCTGTCGGAGGTTTGCTCAGAAGGAGCCCGACTGACAGGAGCAGCCCAAGGCGAGCAGCGAGATGGCCTGAGCGGCCAGCCAGCCCTCGTCTGTCACCTTGAGGCCGGTGCGTCCGGCGCTGAGGGTGGGCCCGCGGCCCCGCACACCCGTCCTCCCGCCCCGGGCCCGCGAGCCTTACCTGGCCCTTGACCAGGCTGGCGGCGAACTGGCGCATGACGGCCTCCACGGTGTAGGCGCTGGACCAGCCGCGCGGCGTGAGCAGCTCCATGCAGATGGCGCCGCCGTCCAGCACATAGCCGTTCTCCAGGCGCGGGCTGAGCACCCGCATGAAGGGCGGCGAGAAGGGGAAGTTGTCGGGGAAGGTGAGGTTGAGCAGGATGAACTCGGTGTTGGTCTCCTTCATGTCCTGCCACAGCACCGAGTCCTTGTCCACCTGGTGCAGCTTCACGTTCCAGTCGAAGAGGCTCTCGTCCACCAGCTCCACGGAGATGAAGCGGTCACTGAGGCGCGCGATGTCCTGCAGCTCCTTCATGAGCCGCCGGCTGCGCACCTGCGTGCAGTGCTGCTGGCGCGCCGCGGGCACCAGGCTGCCGCCCGCCGCCACCGCCGCCGCCGCCACCGCGGGGCCGGCCCCGCCCTGGCGCCCGCTGCCCGCTCCCGGGGGCCCCCGGCGCCCGCCGCCCCCGCCGCCCCGCGGCCGGCTGCGGCAGCTTGTCGCGCGAGGCCAGCTCCGCCGCGCGCTTGCCCTTGCCCTTGCCGGGCCCGGGGCTCGCCTCGCCCGCGCCCCCGGGGTGCTGCTGCTGCTGCTGCTGCTGCTGCTGCTGCTGCTTGTGGCCGCCGCTCTTGGCGCCGCCTTTGCCGCGAAGCGACGCGCTCTGCTGGCCGCCACCGCCGCCGCGGTGGTTGTGATGGTGCTTGGGGTCCTCGGTGTCCCGGTTGTGCAGGCGAATGAGCCCGATTTTACGAAGCAGCGTGGCCATTTTAGGCTCGGTGCCGGCGGGGGTCTCCCCTGGGCTCCTGCCCCTGGAACCCGCGAGCTGGAACGCGGGGGGCGCGGGCCGGCGACAGGCGACCACTCAGTGGGGCGCGGCGCGGGCCACCCCAGGCACAGCCGGCCGTGGCGCAGCGGAGCCGGCAGGACAGGTGCTCGCTGGCTGCTGTGTCGCCGCTGTCATATGACGGGGACGGCTCCGGCTCGGGCTCTGGCTGCCCGGGGAGGGGAAGCGTGGAGGAGACGCGGCGCAGTTGGCCGTTCCCCGGCGGGTCCCTGAGCGCAGACCCCCGATTCCCAGTGTCCGCGGTCCTTTGTGCGCGGCCGCAGCCGGGCTGGCCCCGAGTCCGCGAGCCGCGCCGGGGCGCGCAGAGCAGCCCGCAGCGCCCGCGAGGTAGCGAGGTGGCCGCGATCTCGCGCCGTGCGCGCCTGCCGGGCCGTGCCGCGCTGGCGGCTACCGCGGGGCCCGGGCCACTGCCGCTCGCGTCGCCGCCGCCGCCGCCGCCGCCGCTGCCGCTGCGGCTGCTGACATTGCAGAGGCGGCTGCTCTGTCTGAGCCGAGCGCGGCGCGGAGGGGCGGCACTGCCGGCCGGGAGGGGGGCGCGGGGCGGAGCCGCGGGCTTGCCTGCGCCGTGCCACCCCCGCCGCCAGGCTCCCGCGGCGACACGCGCGCGGCCGCTGGGGGGAGACAGCGGTGCGCGCCCGACCCGCCGGGCTCTGGGCTGCAGGGGACCGCGAGCTGGGCTGGTCAACCCCGCGCCTCGGGGAGGGGTCGGCCTGCGTGTGCTAATGGGAGTCTCGGGGGGCACTGTGTCTTTCTGTTCCCGGAGCCCAGCAAATTGTGGCCTCCGTCCGAACTCAGACTCCTCTTAACCGCCTCAGAACAGCCCAGAGGGGACAAGTAGAAAGCAACCTGTTTATTATCCTTTGGGTCTGATGGGGGGGCCCATGTCCCCGGATGGCAGTTCTGGACCCATCAAAGGATCAGGGCGAGGAGAGCAGGATGCGAAAGCACGCCCGCGGCAAACTTCCAAAAACCAGCCACCATGAGTCGCGACTTCTGTAAAAGGGGACCGTTTCGCCAATTCTCCTCACTGGCGCTGCTCCGCTCCCGCCTGTCACGAGGACAGTCGTGCTGCGTTCCCCAGCGCTGCGACTCCAGTGCCCCTGAGAAGCGCAGCATCAAACGCAGGGGGTGGGTGCTGGGGATGCGAGGCAGCCCCTTTTACAGCCCAGCGTGCAGGTGCAGGCGGTGGACCTGATCACCTTCAACTTGCAGGCTGACAGCCCTCCCATCCCATTCTTCTTTTAATCCATCGAAACTCTTACTATTATTATTTTTAATCCGGTGAAATTTCCAGCAAAAAGCTAATTCAGATCAGTTCAGAAGCTGGAAGAATCTGAACGTTGAGCTTGGTTCCCCTGAGTGTTGGGGAAAATCGCTGAAATACAGGAAGTATCATCTGGCAACCTGTGGCCTAAGATTCTGAGTCCCAGTGCTGTTGGTGGTGTGGCTTCGAATTTGGGGGGCCCCTCAGTTCATCTGGAGAATGTGTTCATTCTGAGCGCCAATGTGTTGCCCTTTTTGTTCTTAATGTCTTTTACAAGGTTCACTTTTTTCCAAGCCTTTAAAAATTTTCATTGTGAAAAGTCACTCTTCAGGCCATGGTGGAGATGAGACGCAAGCCTGTGTCTGGGGCTGGGATTTGGGGAATGTCTAACAGGAAAGTCACTTAAGCTTGTGGTAAATGAGCAGAAGGTGCCTGCCCTCCTGACCCTCCAGAAGCCAGTAGGAAGACAGGTGACTCCCTGAGACCTGGGGAACCCCTTGGTTTTCAGGTGGTGGGGTCCATGGCAGCACCCTGATCCAAGCAGACCCAGGCTGCTAGAGGAAAGAAGTGTGGACCTTGCCAAGTCCCATGGGTCATGAACATGGGGGGTTTAACGTTAAAAGGCTGAAAACTGATATTGAAGGGAGAGTCCTTCCAGGCTACCATAGAAGGTAACCCAGCCTCTCAGGCTTCATCAGACCCATTTTATTGGTGAAGAAACAGATTGTAAGAGGATTAGGGCTGGCCCTGGTTAGCCACTTGCTAAGAAGGGTAGCCCAAGCGAGACCCATAACCTTGGAGACCCTCTGCCTCCAAGCCCTGCTTGCTCTGACTTACTGCTCTGAGGTCTGTCTAGCAAGCCTTGGTCTAGAGAAAGTTCCACTGAGTGGAACTGTCACTACCTCAGAACCAGCTGGCCTTCGACAGGCCTCAGAGAGATGTGACCCACCCCAGGGTGAAGCAGGAATGCTGTTGGGTGTTTTTGGGTAAAGGTTTACCCAAAATCCCAGGCTTATGCCTCTGTTTCTGAATGGAATTATTGCTAGGTGATTGCTATGGCCTGGGTATTGTTTAAGTGAGTCCATCCCCCAAGCGTTCCTAAGTTGGAAGCATAGCCTTAAGGGTGGCAGGTTCGTTGAGAGGTGAGGCTTACCTGGGTACCTGTGGCTCACACCTGTAATCCTAGCTACTCAGGAGGCAGAGATTAGGAGGATCGAGTTTTGAAGCCAGCCTGGGCAAATAACTCATGAGACCCTATCTTGAAAATACCTATCACAACAAAAGGCTGGTGGAGTGGCTCAAGGTGAAGCTGTGAGTTCAAGCCCCAGTATCACCAAAAAAAAAAAAAAAAAAAAAAGAGGTGAGGCCTAGTGGGAGGTCTGGTCCTTATTGTCCCTTTCCTGATCTTTGGCTTCCTCTTTCCAGTGCTATCTCCTTCCACAAATGCTCCTACCAGGAGGCCATCAGCCATGATATGAGGCAGCCAAGGGGGTCTCAAAAGAGCTGCCATCATGTTGTTTAGAATTTCAGCCTTCCAAACTTTGAGCCAAATGAACCTCTTTTCTTTACAAATTATCCAGTCTCAAGTATTGCATTACAGTAACAAAAAGTTGACCAATGCAATGATGATATAATTGTGGTCCAGTTGTAAATATTGTGTGTGAGCGAAAGGATCACAATGAATAGTGATGCTGAGACAGGAATCCTAATCAGGACCAGCTAGCCCATGGAAACGGTGGTCTTCTTATGTGTTATCTATCTCACTTACAGAATCTAGGAGTAACTCATAAAAGACCAAAGCCCACGTTAGCTAAAAATTAGCAGCAACCAAAATTTACAAGAAGGGAAGTGTTAAGAAAATTATACTTAGTCCACTTGAGAGTCTATCATACAGTAATACATTATAGTCCTGAAGAGTACATAGCACAATGGGAAAGTTTATCATCTACAAAATAATTTTAAGTGAGAAAGCAGAGTGCAAAATTGTGTTCACACTGCAGCTACAATTATATGAAACTGTGGTTCACGTAGGAAAAATGGCTAGAAGGACGTTGTGGGGGGCAACAATTATTACGTTAGAGCAGGCAGGTAACTTGCTCCTCTCAGTCCTCTGTCATCCACGGATCTAAAACTCCCTTCAGTGCTAGGAGGGTGGTATTGTGTTCCTCAGCTCCCCTCTTCCTATCTTAGAAGATTCCAGGAGCTTCCATCTCACAAAAGGAATGAAAAGCTATGCACCTGACCTAACAATATGACAAGGTGCATTTTGAGATTACCGTTAATTCCATTCTGCTTGATTTTCAAACACTTGAAAAGGGGATGTGTTATACTTTTAATGAAAAAATGATTGCCAAATCTTAAAATGTCGTCCTATTAAAGGTTAAGCTTACAACTTTAGAAGAGTTGAACCAAGTGCGTACAGTTAAGTGAAATCTCTAATCTGCAGCCAGAGCCTGAACCAACCTGGCATGATTGGAAGGAGTGAGGGGAGCTGCTCATGACAGCAGGACTCATCTGAGAACTGAGGAGAACCTCCACTGGGTTTCTTGTCAGCATTTCATCAATGGTCCTGGTTCCAGCTCTCCAGCTGCAGTTTTTATAAAGAGAAAAAACCAGAGTTTCTCCATTTATTCTTTGTCTCAAATGACTGCCTCCCAATTCTTTAGGTTGGTCCTATTTCCTCATGAAGCCCAACTTCCTAAGGTCAACAAAACATCAACCATACCACCTAAAGACTCCTGCCCCAAATTCTCTGATGTTACTTATTCTAGTACTCTTTGGTTCTCTCATGCTATTTGAACTAAGGTGTCAAGATCACGGCCAACTTTGAAATAAATTTTCTGTGTGGATCTGTGACAGTTCAAGATCACGGGATCAGTTGGGCCACTTGCTTCTCCATCATAAAGCTGGCACTTTGATGTCAGGTCCCATCTCTTAAGTACCACCCCAAGCACATCATCTACGTGAATCTGTTTGATCTTCATGGCAATGCTATCCTCGCTATATGGATGGGTGAACTAAAGCGCAGAGAAATTAAGCTGGCCCAAACTAATGTAACGAGTACTGGTGGAGCCAGGATTTAAGTTCACATCCTTGGTTCCAGGTTGCACTTGAAGCCATTGCTCCATGAGCACCTACTGCATTCGGTCACCAGGGAAAATGATGAGGGAAACAAGCCCTGCCCCAGGAGCTGCGAGTCCAAGGGAGGACGTCTCTACCATCCTCTGGCCTGTCCACAGAAAACTGCTCCAGAGATGTTTGGGGATGTCCAGGAAGGCGTCATAGTCACCTCGGTACTTGCTCAAGACATATGATGGACACGTGCCCATTTTTGTTGTCACTGTTGAATTGAAAACCCAACCTTTCAACCTAAAACAAACATAGACCTTTGAGGTCACATCAATTACCGTCGTGCCAGAGGGAGCCAGGTCTCCAGTTCTGACACATCATCCAAGGCTATCTCGTGGTGCCATATTGCACAGGCTGCTGAGGCTCTAACAAGATGAAGGGCAGAAGGGAAGGAAGAGGAGAGTAAGGGTCCAGAGAGGAGAGGAAGGAAGCATGCAGGAGAGGGAGGTGAGCCCTGCCAACCTGAGCAAGGCAGGGAGGACTTCCATGTGACTTGTAGTCCAAGAGTTAGCACATCTGCCTGTGCCCTGGAGTATTTTCTTCCTGAGACAAATGACCTTTTCCAAAGATGGCATACCAATATATTGGTCCCATTTTACTAGTTCTCACCCTTAGATTGTCACTTCTGTCATGGTGGAGACATGGGTTCTATGTTAACCTCCTGTTGAATCTGGGTGGGGCTGACTATTTTGACCAGTGGAGTGGGGTAGGCAAGGAAGCCATTGACATTTGAGATTATGTCTTTAAAGCATGCAAGTCTGTCTGGCTCTCTCTCGGGATAGTTGCCTGAGGAACTCAACCATTGTACTGGTAGGAAACCCAAGCCATGGAAAAGGCCCCATGAGTGGCTATATTCAAGCAGTTAGCCTGGCTGAGGTTTTTATAGGGAGCCAGTAGCACTTAGCAGGCATGGGAATGAGTACACAGGTGATTCCTGCCCAAAGCACTGAGGCTGCAGCTCAGGCCCCAGTCTTGGTGGCACTGAATCAAGTCATTCCTACTATGCCCTGACTGAATTCTTCACCCACAGAAATTGTGAGAGGTCAAAAAGAAGACTGTTAAGT